ATGCTTTGGGGGAAGCCCACTGTCATGTCAGCTGCACAACTGTTCCACAACAGTGGTGCTGCGAGGTAGCCCAAACTAGCCCAATAGGAGAGACTCCATGGAAAGCCCTGAGACTACATGAAGAAAGAGGAAGCCTGCCCCTGCCAGTCCCAGCTGCTCCAACCCTTGGCCATTCCAACTGCAATAATGATCAGGAGCCAGATCTACTCAGCCTGCTGCTTCCTGAATCCCTGAACCACAAGAACAGTAAAAGATACTGCAATAAACCAAACAAAAATTTTAAAAAGAGCTCTATAGCAAATCAGCTCCAACCTCCCTCCCCGATATCATTTGTTAGTATTTTGTCTTTTCTTTTGATCATACGAATATATGAAAATAATGTATAATACTCTTTATTATTTCACATAGATCAAGTTTGTTTGGATTTATGTGTATGCTTAGCAATTTCTTTGTACCCCAGATTTTTGATCTGGAGTAACATTCTTCCTGAGATACATTGTTTAAAATTTCTCTCAGTAAAGGTCTATTGATAAAATAATCTGTTTTTCAGAAAAATTTCTTTATTGAAACATTTATTGAAATAACCACCAAAAAAATGGCTTGTCAAACACATTTCTAATGTTGAGAGTTTTCACTTCCACCACTTTGGAGATATTTTCTCACTTCTTTCTGACTTCCATTTTTACTGTTAGAAGTTTGTTTTTAGTAATTTTTTTCTTTTTCAGGCGATGTATTTTATTTCTGACTCCATTGAGAAGTTTCTTTAGTTGGGTTTCACTAAAAACTTTCTAGGTTTGCATCATTTAAAAATTTAATTCATCATTTAATACTTACTTAGTGTAAAGATTACATTATTCATTAATTTTGGAAAATTCTGAACCCTTATCTCTATCATATAGTTCCACAATTCCACTTTAAGGTAGCCCTTCTCATTTTACTCTGCTTGATTGTTGGGGGGTGCTGGGGATCAAACCGAGTCATTTTGTTCTATATGTTTTTGTCTTGTTTTGTATTTCCTACATCCTCATATCTAGAAAAGTAATTTGCATTATCTTCTAGTTCACCAATTCTTTCTTCTGTTACATCTAATATGGTGTCTATCCATTTCAACAATTGTACCTTTCATTTCTAAAATATTTATTTAGTTCTTTTTCAAGTCTATCTAGTTAATTTTTATATTCCCTTATGGGCCTGGCCTGTCATCCTTATTTTTTCCCACAAAGATTTCATATTTAATTATATACTGCATCTGACAATTCAAGTAAGTTCTCAGGCTTTTATATCTTATTTTTTGTTTGTTTTTTTGTCTCTGAGGACTCTGACTATTGATGCTTTATGTACATTTGAGTGTTTGCTTATGAGCTTATATTTGAAAACAAGACATGGGAATTCTGAGACCTTTCTTATAGAAAAAAAAATCCTTATACTTACTTCTACTGGGAAGCTGGGTGCTGCTCCTGACCTGGGGCTACACAAATCTCAGGCTTAACATGGGACACAGGTTAACATGGTAAGTACAGGGCTTGGTCTCCAGTTCTAAGTTTTGGTATCTGAACTTTATAATTCACAATGCTTGGTCTGGTTTTAGTTCTCGATTTTCTGTTCTGTTATGGGATTTTTGGGAGTGGGGTATGTAAATACCCTAGGAGTTTTGCCTAAATTTGACAAGTCCAACAATGCATTCTAGAGTATGTTTTATCCAGGAACAATAAGAAAGACAATAGGAGAGTTCTCAAGTAGCAATTCCAGATACTAACCAGAATGGCTGCTCCTGGGTGCCTCTACCTTATTTCCTTTATACTCTGGACAATCCTCATGGTAAATAATTTTATTCCCAGTTGACAGAAGACAGGATAAGTAAGTAGGGTTACATAACTGGCAAGTAGCAGTCCTCACTGGTACTAGAACTTGGAAACACAACTGTTTAAAGCTAAAATCTATGTTCCTCACTATTATGCAATACTTCCTCTAAGACACAAACTCCATAGATTCACATCTTTTGAGGGATGTGTCTTTTTCTTCTCCTATATGCTATTTCTCATGCCCAGTTTAGCACCTGCCTTCAAATTCCTTTATATCATTGCAGATGGTGGGCTGAATGGCCATAAATGACTGCCATGCTTGGGTGCAAACATTGATGTGCTGCTCTGAGTTTGGACAGAAAAGAAAAAAGAAGTTAGATAGCAGAAGAGATGGAAATTTTAGGAACATAATCTGAGACATATCATATTGTTTTAAAGAAAAATTTCTATAACCTTTTCAGGCCCAAGTTACTTTCCTTAAAGCTTGTATTATTTTTTAAAGGCCCATAAATAAAATAAGAAAATTGCTCTCCCTGTTTTATCTCTACACTCTCAATTTCCTTTAGTAAAATTAGAGGCAATAAATGATGGCTACAATCTCTTCCACTTACACAGGAAGAGATGAATCAGATTATACCTGACACCAGAAACCTCAAGATAAACATCAGGGTCTCACAGCAAGTCTTCCTAGTAAATTTAAAATTATGCACTTAGAAATTTTAATATGTTGACTATCCTATGATTTTTACTCTATTTATTCTAAAAGCTTTTGTTTTTCTAATTCATATCAATTTAAAAAAAGATAAAAAAAAAGAGCAACTAAAGTTTTCTTCGGTAAGTTTTCCACTAATAGTGTTTTGAAATACTTTTTATTTAAAAAGTTCATCTCCGCAGTTCAAAAACAACTAACACCAAAAACTATTAAACTTCCTTTTTTGTGGCCGGAGTGTGCCAGGGATTAAATTCGGGGGCACTCAACCATGGAGCCACATCCCCAGCCCTATTTTGTATTTTATTTATAGACAGGGTCTCTCTGAGTTGTTTAGCACCTTGCTTTTGCTGAGGCTGGCTTTGAACTCTAGATCCTCCTGCCTCAGCCTCCCAAACTGTTAGGATTACAGGCATGTGCCACAGTGCCTGGCTTAAATATCCTTTTAATAGATAAATGAAAAATTCAGTTTGAGGAGGATTTGGAAATATAATTGTTTATGTATCCATCCATTCTATAAACATTTACCATGCATGTCCTTAATGCCAAGCAGTGTACTGGGGTCTCAAAAGTACAGGAAAAAGATTCTTGGCCCCAAGATGCCCATCTCTGTTCTATTGCTTCTGTTATGTCTGAGAGGAAATACATCAGACTTGTTGCGTTTTAAAAGATGGTCCTCTTTTACCAAGTTGGTTACCCCCAAAGTTCAAAAATGAATTCTTAATGTCATAGTAAGATAACCAATTAAGTTTCAGTTTTTATTTTTAATAATTTTTTCAAATACCTAGTACCTCTGAAAAATCATGAACTCCTGATTTGAGCAAAATGGCCCACTGAATTTTCAACTCTATCAAAAACTCAGAAATAAAGCTTCAAGAGCTTGAATTAACCCCAGTGAATTTTACCCCTTCTGTGAGTAATGGAGCCCTCAGAAAATATCATGAAAAGTGTAGACATGCACAGACATGGAAATATTTTATAAACTTGGGGAAAGGGTCTCTGAAATTTATAAAAGCTGTACCACAGATGCAAATACCATGGTCATGTCTTTTCACTGTGAACAGCTTCATGACTGGAGTCTCATCTCATTCAACCTTGCAGTCCCTGTCCCAGAGTTGACTTCAGAAAACACTTAATGAATGAGTGAATTCTGTTCTTCTGTTCTTAGAAGGTTCCCATTTTTATCTTCCCTCTCCCCATGAATTTCCAGATCCTCAACTTCATTTATACATTTTCTTTTCTTTTTGTACCCACGATTGAACTCAGGGGCACTTAACCACTGAGCCATATCCTCAGCCCTTTTTTTTGTATTTTATTTAGAGAAAAGATCTTGCTAAATAGCTGAGGCTGGCTTTGAACTTGCGATCTTCCTAATTCAGCCTCCCAAACTGTTGGAATTACAGGCATGGTCCACCATGCCCAGCCATTTACACATTTTTCGAAAACTTATTTGCTCAAGACAAATCTGACAGGCTAAAGACCTCTCTTTCTCAAACTCTACTTTCAGAATTTCCCTCATTTCACCTCACCAAAGAAAGCCACACCTCCTAACAAATATTACAATGATGCAGTACAGACTACCAGGCCAAGAAACAAAAAAACATTTCCAAAACAGCTTCTCAGGAAATTCCTACCCCTAAAAAAGAAAAAAAAAGGAAGACTATCTCTAGATGAAACAGAAAGGGGCTGTGCTTTATTTCATCCAGGGAACAAACTCTGGGAGTTCCCCATACCTTACTTACATGTTGAATAATTAGAGGTCAGAAGTGAGATGATTATATTGGATCATACTGTAACACTTATTTTAATTCATTCCTTATTGTGAGATACAAGGTCTCAGAACAGTGTCTTTCTCTTTCTTTCTCAGAGATTGACTCATTCTCTACAATGAACAGTCCTTTGAAGGAGCTGCTGACAACTTGCAGGTAGGCTTCACCAATCAGAGACCTATAGCAGCTGCTGAGATTTCTAGAATTGATGCAGAATTTTCCATCTGCTCTCCCAAATCTGATATGATATCACATCATAGCATCAATAGAGTATAATTGCACATTCTTGTATACTCTGACAATATTGCTATTTTAATGCATGCATATGCACAAGATCAGACATTTATTTTTATTTTGTTGTATTAAATCAGTTCACCGTTGCCAAACAATAAGTTGGAACTGAAGCCAATAAATTAGAAAGTAGTAGCAAAGAGTATACAGAATATTGTGATGCTTCTTCAAGCAAACCAATTGATCTTCATGTTATTTCTACTATCTCTAATGGCAAGCAATAGAATCCCAGAGGAAGCATGAAATACTGTTTGGATTCCCATAATCCTTCCTAGTTTATTTACGATTCTCTCTTTTATCCTTCCTGCCTGCCCATATGGTTTTACTCTTTGTTTCCCGAACTGAATTATGCTTACTTCCCTTAAGATGCTAAATACTTCAAAAGCTTCCCTCTTTAGTTCCATACAAACTGAAGTTATAAACTCTTACCTTTGCCGAATTATGCTGGGATTAGCTGTCACTAAATGACTTTTGGATCCAACATCTTTAGTGTATTCACTTGACAAGGGAGGAAGATTGCATCTAGAGACAAAAGAACAAACACATTGGAATGATTTGCATACTTTTAAATCAAGTCAGTTAAAAATGACACAAATAGGAACTTTAACTCTAGCTCAATTCACAAATAACTGTTTTTACCACCTTTCCCTTTGAATAGACATTAGATGACTAATTAACCATCAGCATCTTCAAAATGCTGTCAAAAAACTAGTGCTGTTTTAGAAGAAAGAAAATGTCAGCTACAGAGTTAAATGATCTAGTGAAGGGGAGAGACAATAAGTAGAATGTATTGGTTCCATTTAAAATATCTTTGGTGTAATAAACTTTGAAATTAGGGCTCAGGAGGTAGAGAACACAAGACCTACAGTGTTCTCTGCATACCCCTAAGACCCAAGAGACACAGGAATTATATGTGCTCATGTTTTTCTTTCTTTTCTCAAAATGTAAATTATAATAGCATATTCAGGGCAATGTACTGTTCACCTAAATCAATGCATGTCTAATTTTTGTGTAGGCGGTCAATGCATAGGTTGATTATTGGTGAAGACATAATGACCTGTCATCCAAGGAAACACAGTGACTCTGCACCATTCTTGTTCAAATAGAAAGAGTACTGGTGCTATTCCTAGTGAGGAAAATAGTCACTCCCTCCCACTCGCAAAACACCACCCCATAGTCATTCCCTCCCACCAGCAAAACACCACCCCAATTTTGATTGTTCTTCTTGGTCACAACATCTTAACAATGGTCTTCAATGGAAAATATAGCCAATTCAAATGCAAATCTCATGGCTTTCTTCCTGTGGGACATTAGACAAGTGAATTAATTTGCTGGGCCTTAGCTCCCCCATTACATAAAATGAAGACAATGACTTCTTTCTTGTTGGGTTCTTGTAAAGACTAAAAAAAGAAAGTATAAAAAGTCCCTACCTTCATGCCTTATACATAGTAAGAGTCCAAAAATGTCTCAAATAAGATATACTATAGAAATATTAGTTATATATTTATGAAAATTCCAAAAGAGCCTATCTTTTCCACTAGGTTTTCTTCTATGAATGTGTCCTAATTGCTCATCTCCACCCATATGCCTAAATTGACTCCTGCCACATCACAGCATCTATAACGTTCTATGACTCCAGCAAACCAAAGCTTCATTTATATATAGATAAAGCTATCTTACAAATATCGAGATCTCTGCCAGCTACTAAAATTTCCCTTAAAATATGCCCCAGGAGATGGAACCATCCACGCACCCAACTCAGCTGATCAGCTCAAGCTCCATGATTTTGTTTTTACCCTGTGACTCCTACCACATCACAGAAATACATCAGTGTTGACTTAGAATACTCCTTTCATCTGCTCTTAGATAAGGATATACTGGTTCTTCTGAACTACCCACAGATCAGTTGGTCTGCCAGTTGGTGACCTGTGGCATGCTCAGGTCTAACACAGTGAGCATTGTGTCACAGAGCCCATTTCTGAGGCATCTCCAGTCTAGTGGTCACCCATACCCCATATGGTTTCCTGAGGATGTTACCAAGGAGTGAGCTTATGGACTGACAAGCAGGCTGGGCAGGCATGGAACTGGCTGTGGTCTCCTGACTTAACTGTCCTTTGCAAGGATGAAGATAACTTCCGAGCTAAAACACGGACTAAAATTTGACCACAAGTCTCATAAAGCAGCTTTGATCTTGATTTCCCTCAGTAACATTTGAGAAGAAACCATTTCATACTAAAACTGTCAGCTCTGAATACTGCTGGGGGGGGGGTGCTGCTAACCTGTTTTGCCATTATTAAACAAAACAAATTGGTTTTCATGAGTAAACACTTTGTTTTTCTGTGTGTTCCATGGCTCATAGGTCTGAATCCCTCCATCCCTCCTACCACAAAGTAAAAGCTCAAGAAAAACTGGAAGATATTGGTTATATCCTATAATAGAGGGAAATACTTAAAACAATAAAGATAATATTTTATAATTACATTTCTGGAAAATAATGACAATGCATTTTAGTGTAAATATCTGCCTGAAGTTCTTCTGCGCAAATATCTGACAATTTCCTCTATTTCTTTCCTTAGGCATGCACACTATAATTTTAGCTCCTCAATTGCTAAATTGATAATTACACAGATTTATATAAAAGGCACATTTAATATAGTTAAATTGTTTCTAATAAGGCATAATTGTGTAAAAGTGTTTCAAACTTTGCATTATCGTTTTTTGGCACAATTAACAGATATTAACAGCTAAAGTATCTTGGTAACAGTACTCAAATTACTAGAAAAGATCTGATCACAGAACTAGTGGGAAATAAATACGATTTGAATTGGGGAGTGGAAGTAGGTGAAGAGCAGGCTTGGTGGAGAGGAAAGCTTACATAAAAAAGCATAAAATCACTGTGAACTTTTTTTATTTATTTAAGTGCAAAACATGCATTTGAACATAATTCTAAATTATGTTTCCTTCACTGTCACCCTGAACCACCAGATTCTCCCCAAGATACAATCATTGTGACTTCTGTCTTGCAGATCTTCCAGATAAACTGAATTCACTAATATTCTTTTTTTCAAGTGCTGCTTTCAGTTAGAGTGCAAATGTATACTTTGAGTAATGGGAAATTGATTTTTAACATTTTAGAAGATGTGTTTGAAAATATCTAAGCACAGAAAATCATGCAAGAGTCATATCCTAGTCCTAAGAAATTTGGGTTGTAATCCAGTATAGCGCAGCTACAGGCAGGGTCTCTGGATTATATGCTCACTTTATCTACCCGTGCACCCAATAGTGTAGGATCTGACCAACTACAAGCTTTCTAATCCACATTTACTCACTAAGTGTTCAAATTTGAATACATGCTATTAGTAATTTTCTAAATGTGCCCCTAAAATGTGCATTAAGCAAACATTTATTACAGTCAAGTAATATTTTATCAACATTTATCACTCCCATACTGTAAATCATAAATAAGGCTTTTAAAATTTCAAATGTGTTGTGAAAATAGCATGATTCTTGAAATTTAAAAAAAAAAAGCACATTGTGCAGAGCTTCAGTTAGATGCTACCTTTTCTGGATCCTATTCAAGCCTCACCTCCCTCATCATTCTGTGAACATGATGCTTAACGCTGTGCCAGATGCACTAATCACAGGTACTCATTAATCCTGAACTTGAATATATCGACAGAGCATTGCATACAAGGCTAACCTAATGTGGTTTATTTGGGATAAATAGGGCACCACTAGATTATCCCCTGGTCTTCTACATCTTAAGTTGAAAATACTAATCTTCCTAAGGGTAGTCACACACGCACATAGGCACGCACGTGTACACATACACACCCACACACACAAGGAGAGTAAGGAATAATAAATACATTTCTTGTTCTGCCTCTTTCTCCACTGTATAAAGACCACTTGAAGTCACTTAACTTCTCTTGAACCTGTGAGTTTAATACTATCTATTCCTCGTTTCTTACAGTGTTTGGAAAGAGCAAATAAGCTTATACGTGAGAGCAATTTGAAAAGTTAAACTGAACTCTATAAACTCTGTTGCAATGATATTGTGTTCATGTAACCATAGATAAAATCAGAGTTGCTGCACAACAGGAAGCCTGGAGGAACTGCCACTCAGACCCCCACCCCCTGCCTCCAGACTGCAAAGCTGAGCCCCAGCAAAGGTAAATGATAGGTGGTAGGCCACGGACCTCGTCAAAGGAAGGGCCTGTCCTCCAACCCTTTGTGTTCTTTGCTGATTCTGTGGCCTCACCTAATGCCACAGTATTGGAATGAGTACCTGCAAATACTCTGGCCTCTGTCCTTGTCCTCTCTCCATGCTCTCTAGGTGATTTTTTCCACTCCTTTGGTTTAAATACCTCTCAGCCCCATCTATAACACAGTCCTTGCTTCTCGGGGCACTGCAGAAGCACTTGTTCTGCCCACATTGGAATGAAGAGGATTCAGCCTAGAGCCACTCTTCCTCAGAGTCTCCCACTGCCCCCACTATGTGTCTGAATTCCTCTTATTACAGCAAGTACGCCTTCAGGATACAAGTCCATGAGAGAATTGATGAACATATTTCCAGATCTAGCTTGAGTTCCAATATGCAGTATGTGCTCAATGAACAGATTTTGCACTCAGTTAATGGAACTACTTCTTTATTTTTTTTTTCACTTTCCTATTGTTTATATTGCAAAAAGAAAAATCACAATGAAGAGGAAAACATAATCCTACACTGGAAAAAATATGCTAGGGCACCCCATGAAGGAAAGGTAGGTGTAGAAAGACCTCCCCACTCCAGCACAGGCTTCACCAAGTGAGAGGACACGTCTTCCAAGGAGCCCAAGGCTAATTCTCTCAGGGGAAATTTGGCCGCCCCTGAGTAAATCAACCTCTTAAAATTTAATTGTCTTTACTTTGCCCTACCTCACTTAGCTTGAGCTTAGAAGCAGGTTAGGGTTCTCTTAGCTGTCTTTTGCTGCTCCTAGACAGTTACTTATTTGTCCTTGAAAACAAATACAAACAAAAAATCTGCATCCTCCCTCTCTCAGCTTCCTRGCCTCTGTGTTGCTGGTGGTCCTCAGCCTTCCTGGCCTTTGGATACCTGGTGCCTAGTCAATCTCATTTCAGTAAGACTTTAGGGTCCACCTGAAAGACTCCCTTGTGCGGTCTTAGGGTTCTTTCTCTTTCTTAGTAACAAACTGTCTTTTCCTACAATGTATCAAGTCAACCCCAGATAACCTCAACTCTGAAATCTTATACCACARGGACCCTTCTTTGACTTCACCTCCCACTCGCTCCTGGCTCTCAATGGCCCTGGCATTTGGCCTGTTTCCCTTCTCTTCCACATCTCAGAGCCAACTCCCTATCCTGCCCGGGCTTCAGGGTGTGCTGCTTCACAGGCTCTCCAGCCAGAGCCCTCCATGTTGCCACGCCCGGTCCTTCCTCCCTCTCACCAGATCATCTCAAACCTGCACCACGACATTCACTTTCCCTCTTGTTTTCGCTTCTACCCCAGCTGCCAAGCACGTCTGCTCAAACTCGCACCATGGTGCAGGTTGTGGGTGCACAACAGCCTGAAGGTCTGGTTGGATGTGTCTTAGCAATTCCTTACCACGTCCCTGCCTCCTGTTTTTCCACTGGAACTGATATGAATGTCGCCACTCTGCTCAGTCCCTTTAACAAGCCTTGTCCTTGTTTGAAAGCTCTTCCCCTCCTCCCTTCTGATTTTCCTAATCACTCACAGATCCAATCCTTCTTCAAATCCCACTTGCTCCTTTCAAATGCTTTTTGTGAAAAACTAAGAAGAAAGGGTGTAGAAGAAAGTGAATAAATTAAAATGTCTATTCATTCAGAGCTAGCTTTAGTGGAAGAGCAATTTTAAAAGTTTTAATTAGCCAAGTGCATAATCTAAAAGAAGACCTGAGTGTCTCTACGTATGAGCGGCAGAATGGGTACCTCTGCCACCTGTGAGCCTTCTTGCTTTGGATTTCCTCAGGGCAGGTTTCCTCCATCCCCTCAGCTCTTCTAAACTCACTTGTATATGAGCTTGAGGGGACACTAAAGAGTGTGCTACAGCTGATTAATCACAAGTGACTAGTTTTGAAAGGCCCCAGGGCTTACGGGAGGGATGGGGAGGGGGGGAAGGAGAGAAGGCAGAGGCCGCGCTGTGGGTGCTCTCTCTTACCGCATGACAAAATTTGCTTCATCTATTTGACGGCCACAGCCACTCTTCTTCAGAATCCCACCATTTCCCACCACCGCGCATTTCTTCAATGGCAGCTGGAATGGGGTTGCCTAGCAACAGAAAACAAGGCGGGTTTTCACTGCAAAGAACACACAACTGCTCATAAAATCATTGTTTACAGCAGACCCTTGGGAGGAATTTGCATGAAGACTGAGTGGGGCAAAAAGAGCATGTGGAAAGAAAGATGCCAAGAAGTTTGTAAGGAGCAAACTAGCTGGTTCCTTTGAAATTAAGAAAGCAAAACAGAAAAACCTCCCCAAAGTGTACTTAAATATAACAACAATTTTTTTTTTCTTTCACATCTTGGCCAAACACATAGTAGAGGGTGTTTGCTACGGAAAATAACAAAAATTTAAACTAAACACAGGATTATTCTGAAAGGCATTAAGCTGTGAATAAACTCAAATGAATTCTATTCCATTTGACTGCAATTTCATTCATTTATACTATCAGCCATTCTCTCAACAAATGTTTCTGAGCATTTCCTATTTTAACTTTTGGGGACAGATACAATGTACAGAAGTCTCTGTCCTCAGGCTTCTGAACAGAGGACAGGAGGTGAGGAAGAGGTGAGGAGAGTGTGAACTTTAAGTAGCAAACACCCTTGTGAGGCTGGGCTATTGCAAAAGAAAAACACACCAACTGCCAGGGGAGGGGCCCGGAGGAGTAAAATGGCCCTTCTGCTCAGCAGACTTGATTGGGGGAAAGCTTCTCACTTGAGAAGAACCTAAAGAATAAATTGGATTTTTCCAAGTAGAGGAAGCAACATAAACAAAGGCATAAAGTATTTTCTAGGAGCAAATGTTGTGTTTATAAGCAAATGAACACTGCACAGTTCTATCTAGAACTCAGGAGGCACTAAGGAGCAAGTGACTTGCATTGAGCCAGACAGCATGTGACTTTCTTTCTGCAAACATTGAACTGGACTGCAAAGAAAATTTTCAGTGTACCTGAGTGTTCCCTGGGGTGCTATTTATAGTACTAGAGAATATGGAAACCCAGCTACAGCTCTGAAAACAGAATGCATCATTTGGCCTCTTCTAGCTGGGTCAGCAAGAACTGCCGGGTACAAAATTTCCTGCTTGCTGAAACAAGGCACAGCAGGGGGAGTTCTTCGGGGGAAGACCTGACATATATATGTAACTGGTACAGAAAATAACTATATTGATAGTAAGCAGGCCACCGTGGATGAATAATATGGACTGTACCAAAAGAGCAAGTGGGATTAATATATGAAAATACATTAAGATGGTCTTGCATAGGCATGAAGTAATTAAACCATGAAGGAAAAACAAACACACAGGAGTCTCTGTGTCATTGATAGCTGAAGTGGGCACTTACTATGCATAAGATTTTATTCCGCTGATTTCTGTATGTAAGAGGAACAGCAAGAACTATGGAAATATTGTTGATAAAGTTGCTGTTATGGTTTAGATGTGAGGTATCCCCCAAAAGCTCATGTGTGAGACAATGCAAGAAAGTTTAGAGGGGAAATGACTGGGTTATGAGAGCCTTGGCCTAATCAGCGTATTGATCTACTGATAAAGATTAACTATGTAGTAACCATTGGCAGGTAGGGTATGGCTGAAGGAGGCGGGTCCCTCCGGCATCCCTTGGTAGTATATAGTTTGTGGTTGTTAGTACAGCTCTCTCTCTCTCTCTCTCTCTCTCTCTCTCTCTCTCTCTCTCTCTCCTTCCTGGTGCAATGTCTTAAGCCACTTTTCTCCATCACACTCTTCTGCCATGATGTTCAGTCTCACTTTAGGCCCATAGCAATGGGGTCAACCATCGTCAGACTGAGACCTCTGAAACCATGAGCACTGAAATAAACTTCTCCACTAAAATTGCTCTTGTCAGGTCCTTTGGTCACAGCAACAATACTAACTAAAATAAACGCAGTACTTAAAGTACAATGCCTAGCATTTGCCAGCAGAGAGATAGGAACTCCCTGCATTACTATAGCAGAGATCAGTCCAGAGAGGAGGGACAGGCAAGGAACAGCATCCTATCACATCCAAAATGATACATGACATTTTTCTCAGTTACTCTTGAGAGGAGGGTTTGGAATCAACATTAGAAAAACATTTATTTAGATCTATACTTGTTAATTGAAGATTTACATATTTATTCTCAAGTTAGCTTGTTTGTCCCACAAAATAAGTATCTACTGTGTATCAACCACTGGTGAGTGACAGGGACACAAGTGGAAATCTATGTTCCCCAGAAGCTTGTATTCTAGTGGGAAAAACAGATAAGAAATAAAGAAACATAAGTCAAATGAATAATGTGTCAGATGGTGACAAGTGCTTTGCAGAGAAATAAGCACTGGCACCAGAGGCTCAGGAGATTCAAGAGAGGAAATGCAATTTGAATAGGGTGATGAGGGGTAGGTGCCCAGGAGGCCTGCAAGCAAATCCCTGCCAATGAGGAAACGCACCCAAATATCTGCAGGAAGCACTGGCACAAAGACCTTGAAGGAGGGAACATTTCTGGAATGGGACAGGGAGAACAGGAAGCCTGCTGTGTCTGGAGAGGAGTCAGCTAGGGAGCCAAGTAGGAGAGGAGGTTAGAAGGTTAACTGGTAGGCAGCTGGGGGACAGATTCTATAGCACTTCGTAGACTCTTATAAAAGCGTGGGTTTTTAGTCTGAGAATTAAGTCTCTACAACAAGAAGTCAACGTGGGGAGGGCAACATTACAGCATAAGTTGGAGCGATCGCTGTGTGTGCTGCTGTGTGAACAGGCTGTAGGTTGTCGTGGGCAGAAGGAGAGACCAGTTAGGAATTCCTTGTAATTCAAGCTTGAGACATTGGTGACCTGAGTCAGGGTGACAGTATAAGAAGCAATCAAATTCTGGAGATACCCTGGAAGAAGAGCCAACTAGATTTGCTGATGTGGTAGGAACAGTGTTAAGAAAAAAATAAAGGGACCCAGGATGATGCCAAGGGTTTTGGCTTGATCGACGGTAAGGATGGACTTGTCATTTCCTGAGACACAAAAGATCAAGGAGAAGCATTACTGAGGGAGCAATTGGAGCTCAGTCTTAAAAACTCAAGTGTACAAAGACACCTGAGTGTCACTGTCAAGTAAGCAAAGGAGCATGTGGCCAGGGAACTGGCCTTTTCTGGAGACAGAAGGTTGACGGTGATCAGTACAAGTATTTAAAGTCAGGAGACTAGCCAGTGAGTGCAGACAGAAAAGAGAAGAGGTCTAAGAGAGGCTCAGACTTTAAAAAAAAAAAAAAGTATCTCAAAAAGGGTTAGAGAAAAAATGCCTCAAATGCTGTTGGTAGATTAAGTATGATAACAGCTAAAAACTGTCACTGGACTTAGCAACGTAGATGTCACTGGTGACCTTGACAGGGACCTTGGTTCAACAGTAAGGACAAAAGTGTGATGTGAGTTCAGTGAGTTATACATGTGGGGTTTTTTTTTGCATAAATATTTAGATATAGTTTATTTGAAAAATGTGGGTTCATCTCATCCTCAACTAGTATTTAGATAGATTTACATTATTAAAATCCCCTTAAACTGTTGTTAAAGAGAGGTCCTTATATCTGGGTTTTCAGGAAAGAATCTGAGCCCAGATCAAGAAGGGTAGCAACATACACCTGGAGAAAAATACTGTCTCCTAACCTCCAAATGGCAGGATGATGGGATCATGGGGCAGGTTCAAGCTCCTCCACCATCTGCTGCCTATCTCTGAAAGGAGGATAATACTACGCAGGATTTTATGAGATTATGTGAGATAAGCCATGAAGCCGCTCATGAGTCACTAGCACAGTGGCCCACTTATCTTCCTTCTCTCTTCTCATTCCTTCCCTCCTTCTAAAGACTTCATGGACTTGTTCAAGCTAAGAAATGCCTAGATTTCATGGGCTTTGATGCAATGAAGGAAAACAGTGATTTCTCTATCTTAACAATTAGAAATAATTTTATTAGCAGAAAATTTAACTATTACACCTGTTCACTATTAACAACACCTTCACCCCCAAAAGCCCTCCAACAAAAGTCCAGAGGTAACAAAAAAAAAAAAGGCCATTTCTTCTTTCTGATAATATTTGCTTGCTCCTTCTTTATTTCATAAATCTCTAGCCCTTGAACAAATAGTTTCATTTTATTTCATTTAAGCAAATATTCTGAACACTCTTGGACATTGATAATACACCAGTGAACCATAATAGCACACCACAGCTTCCAGAAAGGAAACATTTAATTGGAAAAATGCTATGAATTTTTATCCAGCTAACTGATATAATACTATTATGTTCTATTTTAGACATAGAATACTCAACTTGGCAATGGTCCACACTCTCCAGAATGGTACCCTTTTTGGAGATCATATTACATAGGAAAAAAATTCGGTCATCCATTGCCACATGAATATTGTGATTTTGACAATGTTTTTATTATAACAATGTATGCTGTCCTCTCAAATTTATTTCCTTGTATCTATGTGAGAAAATGTCTACCAGATCAGAGAAGATAGTATACATAACATTCCTGCAAAACTTGAAACTACTACTCTAAATGAAAGGATTGATTAGGATAGATTACATTAAGTAACTACAGTTACTTATTATTACAGTTACTTACCAATTCTTATTCAGCCATTAACTCATCCTATGGATCTCTGTCCAAATTTTAGCACTTGTAAATGTTCTGTTAATGACCAGCTTCTTAATGACCATATTATATTAATCATAGGATTCAGATTCTAATTTAACAGGCCACTCAACCTCTCAGTGCTTCACTGGAAATCAGGTATGATAATAACCATCCCATTTATCTCCCAGTGTGATTATGAGAATTAAAATAGGGTAAAGACATTAAATGTCACAAGGTTGTGAAGTTGTATATAAATGACGCTGTATATAAATATGTATTTTTACTACATTATTATTTGCTAATAAAATTACATTCTTTTGAAAGGAAAGTCATCTCATACTGCTAGACCACTATAATATGCAGCCTATGTGTGAAATATTTTCAATTTCAAAGATTTATATAGATTTTGAACCAAATAATATTTTTGATCACTGGCTCTTTTGT